AACTACAGTGCTGCATGTGTATATTGTGTTGTTCGCGGGGCCTCTTATCTTGGGAGCTGAAACCCTCTTTGCAGAGTTGCGGCCCTTGTGCGTGTCATGATCCTGTGAATGTAAATCGAAGATAGAAATTCGCCTTGATTAATATTCTTGGTTCTTTCACGAAATCGGTAAAAGTTTATGCCACACGCCACAAACGGCCGACACGAATACACCATAGAATCCAGCTGACTTTCCGACTAGCATATGTTATACTCTTGGAAGGATGATCTGTGTACCGGGAGCACCGGTGTTGTTCTCGCTGAATTAACGTATATTATTGGTGCCGAATATACCACTCTTATTACATGCACATTTACCCGTGAAGATCCGTCTTAGAATTGGTCTTCACCAATCCATGATTGTCGTAAGAAGCTCGGATCGGATATGTCATCGTATCCGAAAAGCGTAGGTTGATGCCCATGATGTTGATCACTGGATTGTCTGGTCCAGACAGTCCACCGCCACATAGCTGGAATATTGCAACAAACAAACAAACAAACAAACAAACAAAACAAACATGTAGATTAACATAACGATGTTACCTGAGACATCCATATTAACAGGGGTTCACTTTGTAAGGCTAACACATGTAATAATCTCCATGTCACATTTATATGGGGACCGCCTCCGTGGTGTAGTGGTTAGAGCGTCCGCCCGGAGAGCGGAACGTCGCGGGTTCGATCCCCGATCGCGTCATACCAAAAGACGTTAAAATATGGTACTTGTTGGTCCCTGCCTGGCGCTCGGCATTAATGGGTACAACAAGGACTGGTCGGCTCGGAGTCAGTATAATGTGTCTGTGTGGGGTATTCATGCTTCACTGCGGCATGGTATCTCAATGGGCTAGCACTATAAAACCAGCTTAAGTCTAGGCTAATACAAGCAGCCGCACATACACATACACACGCATGCACGTCGTTATATGAGCGAAATATTCTCAAGCACGACGTAAAACCCAATTTCACCTCACCTCACATTTATATGGCATGACAGATACACATGGAACCCGGCGCGGTATACAAGAGGTACCGTCTTTTAGTCTGACGCGCCCAGGACCGGAACCACTGACTTGTATCCATGTTGATCTGTATTTGAATTACATTGTGCACACGATCTATTCACTGTATACTCCATTTATTCTTATGTCTCCAGAGTTCAACTAATAATCCGATTGCAATTATTAACAGATGTGTAGATTTGTATAAAATCAAGTTTGATAGCTATCATATACATACAGAGACAAAGGGGTAAATTTGTACTTGTTAGGGCGTTTGGGGACTCTAAAATGAGTTCGACACAACCAGGAATTCGACACATCTACTTCGAGACATCAGGGTAAAAATAATGATAAATATAAGGAAATCGACAGGGACCGAGAGATGAGTTCGACACAACCGGGAATTCGTCTCAACATTGGGGTTCGACTGTGCTCTCTTTTTTTGCCTCACTCACTACAACCAATACCCTGAAGTTTGAGACGAGAAGACAAAGTCATAAGGGACGTCTTGTTTTACGGTACAGAGGTGTGTTCCACAATCTACTGAGCGTTGGTTCCAATATAAGTTTCCCTCCGAAAACACCGTTTTTGTCTTTCAGACTACTGGCAAGGGTAATCGTCCATGACATATGTTCCCCAAACCCACTCGCTAACCGGCACACACCGTGTATCGACGCACCCTCTAACCACGGACTCGTAAAGAGATAGGCGATTTGAACTTATTGCTCTCTGTGGTATCTTCAACTTTAAACAGCCGTGCACAGATACGGTTGGTATGTTCGTGTTAAACCTGGGGATAGGGAACAGACAGGTCCTGACTTTTACTTCACCCCAGGACTGAGCATGCTGACAAGATTGTGCACGTTCTGCCGCATCAGTGCCAACATCAACTACTTTGCTTTCAGCGATGTAATACCGTCAGTGCATGCTCGATTACATCCTACCTGGCTAGATGCTGCATGTATTTACAAACAGTTATAGAAGATCAGGGGCGTACGTTTAGAAAATATATATATGTATATTGTTCTGAGGAGAACACTCCTATTATAACCTATTTTGGAGTGAACAACTTGAAATATTCCCCGAACACTACACGACCGCGTTGAAACTGTCAGCTGCACAGCATTCTGCTCTTTCCAAAACACTTATGCTTCACAATTGGCGTCTCAGATGATAGACATGCACGTTGCCTGGCGCTGCATTAGCTATAAATAGATACAGGGAAATACCGAGTTGGCATCTCGACTGCGACCTGTTTCCTGGCGGCTGAATAGTCGGTGAAGGGCGTTACAGCGTGTTTGGTTTCTGAGACAAGATGCACTTATCCCCAGTTGGTTGCAGTCGGCACATTTAGGAAGGGATGCTACTGTAAGCCTAAATGACAAGTGTATTCAGTAATAACATGAAGCGCTGATATCATCTGTTTCTGTTTCATGTCAAATGGTTTGTTTGTTGTTTTACGCCGCACTCAGCAATATCCCAGCTATATGGCGGCGGTCTGTAAATAATGGAGTCTGGACCAGACAATCCAGTGATCAACAAAATGAGCATCGATCTACACAAATGGGAACCGATGTCATGTGTCAACCAAGTCAGCGAGGATGACCACCCGGTCCCATTAGTCGCCTCTTATGATAAGCAAGGGTTACTGAAGACCAAATCTAACCCGGATTCTTCCATGTCAAAAGAAACATCCAATGTAAATGTGATGTAGAATTCATGATCAGGCCACTGTTTGGTGACATGACTGTGACTGGAACCTCAGATGGTGTCTGGTTTGTCTTGTGACATGGTCAATATGTTGCTGTGTCTCACTCTGCGAGCGTTTTGTAAAAAAACGTGTAAACACGATTTCATTTTTGTAATTCCAGCATCCTCGATTACAGGATGTTTTTCTGCATTCTGTTGTGAGATATATCCTGGACCCATTTCCCCACAGCTTCTTTGGGGGTCCAGTTGGATCAGCCCCCTCAATGGTTTCAAGGGACACTCCCAGAGCGAGCTGAGTCACTTGTTGCGTTAGTGTCAGAGATAGCGATAATGACGTCACTTCCGGCACAAAGGTCCCAGAGATTTATCGTGGAATGGAGATAAAATACTCTGGATGCTCGAGGATGCGATTCTCGGTTATATGTCGTAAACAGAAGTTCGTCCTTCACCGCGCCCACCACCAGCACCCCTAAAGCTGTTCTTTCGCTACATAACCCGTGGACACAGTCCTGTCGAGGACAAGGAGGGCAATTATTATGATAATTTTACCTCCTTTTTTTGTACCTACTCTTATATACACAACGAGTTCATATTGCCTCTATGTAAATTATTTGTGACGTGTTTTGGTCGCTGTTGTGCAGAGTTAGATCCGGACGATGTTATGTCAGACTGTGGGTGTGTCTGTGTTGTTGAACAACATTTAGAAGTGGTACACACATATAGCGAGAATGTATGGATGTCACGACGGATCACACTCTCCTACCCAGAGTTCCATGCGGCAAGCCAGCATAGTACCTCTGCCACAGGCTAGACAAATGTGACGATTCGTCACATCTTGCAATGTCCATTCAATATAATGTACAGATTTCTTTTACTCTTTTATTTTTGACGAGTCTACACATCTAACTAAACATCTTTAATAGAATGGTTTAGTTTCACTGAGAAAATATCCAAAAACATGTAACACTATTTCGATTTGCGTAGCGATCCTTTGTTTACATAGGTTGTACGGCTCCACGTGCTGTCATCGTAGCTGATGGAGAGCAAACGATGCAGCCAGTTTGATATCTAAATATGTACTGTCATAGACCTTACTGTCGCAGTTGTGGAAGAATATATATGTAACAATGTAAAACATTATGAAGAGAGCGCCGAAAAGCTTTCGTGAGTCCAGTCTCTTCTTATTATGAATATGCGCGTTTGATTACAAAGAAGAGAAAAGTCCGGTCACGTGATATGCAAATAAGCCTGTGGCAGTGATGTTATGTTAAGTCATCGCTGTGCCGGAGTTTGGACGGATCGGAGTGTATTCTCACTCGTTCATCAGGTGAAATGACGAATGAGTAAGAATATACTCCGGAACGTCGTGTTTTCTCTCGATGTCCATGTTAATCTACATTAAGCGACACCGCTTCGCTGTGAGGAATTGGAAACGGTGGGATACATGTTTCCCCGTTGTGTACAAATGATAACACTCCACTGACCAATAAGATGCAAGTGTTTCGTGTGTAAGTTAAAATATACTTGTATATCTATACACACATTCCATTATCGAGCACCGTGTGACGATACGGCAATAGTGGTGCGATACAAAGTCCACCATACAATTCATCGGCTTTCAACTGTTGTATAGCAATACATACGATTCAATACATTCCACGGTACCTTGAAGTAAAACTCTTCGATAATAACAGAAACCTTTCAAGAACCAATTTGTCCAGATTCCCAAGTATTTTTTAACTCTTTACTATATTTTCTATGCAAATAGCAGAATCTGCACAGTGCCCCAAGCTTATATGTTTCTCCTCTACAACATTCCAATATTGGTGTCTCTAGTTTAAAATTGCATGAATTAGGGTACAGATTTTCGGAGCTCTCTTAGCGCTAAGATAGTTGTAAGGTTATGCTAAGGTATGGCTATCTTAGCGCTAAGAATGTTTCGAAAATCTAGGCCCAGGGTTGTAATTCACCCGCAAAGAGTGAGTGAGTGAGTTACGTTTTACGCCGCTTTTAGCAATATTTGCAATATCACGCCGGGGGACACCAGAAATGGGCTTCACACACTGTACCCTTTTGGGGAATCGAACCAGGGTCTTCTGCGTGACGGGCGAACGCCTTAACCAGCAGGCAACGCCACCACCCCTCCTGCAAATAGGCAGAAGCCATCGAACTTATGAAATAAACGTACTGTACCAGAACACAAATCGTTATACCCCCACATATCTACAGGTGTGCGTTATCTGTATGACTTCAGGACAGCAAGTGATCACGGTGCAGAACATCAGATTGGCTGGAGGGCCCAATGCCAACTCCGGCAGGGTGGAGGTCCTGATCGATGGGACCTGGGGGACCGTCTGTGATGATCAGTGGGATGACCTGGATGCGGCTGTTGTGTGCAAGATGCTTAATTACAGGTACTGAAACACTTTACAGGTGAATCGGCACTCCCTGGTCGCTGAGAGAGAGCGAGAGATTCTCTTAATTTACGAGCACATAATAGACATGGTGTGCCTTTTTTGTCAAAAAGGTTCGTTTTTAGCTCATGATCATGACAACGTCTGTGTCAAATCGTGGATTTGCACATCATTCGTGAATTGTATGTATTTAAATTACTATTTCACTCGCCATATTCTATATTATTGGTGTAAACTATAGATTATGTTACAACAGGAACGGTGGTCAGGCGTTCCCACTGGCCAGGTATGGACAGGGCGTTGGCCCCATCCATCTTGACGACGTCCAATGTGACGGTGACGAGGAGCGGATAGACCGGTGCAGGATGACCACCATCAGCAACTGCCTCCACAGTGAGGACGCCAGTGTCATATGTGACCCCAGTGGACCCGTCGTCGCCTCACCAACACCAGCAACGACGGATCAACCACGGACAGTGGGCCCAGTGCCTGACAACTGTGTACCTGGAAGTGGTGAGTTTCTGCAAATTAGATTCTTTCCATAACTTCAAGTACTGACTCTCTCAAAAACTAAAACACATTTTGACATTTAACATTGCAAGTCGCCTACAAGTACAATAACTATGCAGTTTTCGTGCATGATTTTGAAATCTACTATCTCAAAGAATGTAACATAAATGAGGTTTTAATCAAAATCTGTAAATTGTAAATAGATAGTCTCCTGACTAGCACGAAATATATATTTTTATGCAAAAGGTGCTGATGTAATTCAGACACAAGGGCAAGACTCTACATATCGACCTAAATCATATATGTCTATTTTCAAATATCCCCTAAAGATGATAAGAGGAAGATTCTTTAAAACTTCCATGCGTGTGTGCGTGTGTGTATTTGTGTATGCGTGTATATACCCTATTGCTGCTGTTTCCAGCTACAACCCGGCGGGTAAGACTCGTTGCCGCCGACAATTTGCCGGGACGCGGTATGGTCGAGGTGTTCAACGGTACATACTGGGGCTCCGTCTGTGACGATTTCTTCGACGAGAACGCAGCCAAAATTGTCTGTGGGACCCTATGCTTCAAGTGAGTATAAAAACCGACTGATTATCTGAAACCAGTGGGACAATATCGGCCAAGCATGTTCCTCGACAGCCACTTTTCATCACCGAGAGCCCATTCCCACGGATTGTCAGTCCCAAACGTGATTTAATAAAGTCCTAACTCACATGTGCTGTCCTTAAGCCACAGGAATTCATCGTGCAGAGTTGCGTCCCTTGCACGTAACTTAAAGCTATGATCCATGTTCGAAATTATCTTTGATTATCATTCAAGGTTTTCATACCAGACCCAAAGGCGCACGTTGGTTCACCTGAGTGGAAACCTTAAGGTCAAGGGTCACCACAAATCAAGCTGACACAATGATATGAGTGACATATAAACCCGACTCACTCACTCACTGACAGAAATCATTGATGATTCATGGTATACAAGTAGGGGATCCTGAAATATACATCCCATCATTCATTCACGTATATTTTAATTCCAGCACCACATATGCCCGTGCTGGAGCACCACCGGAAGCAATAGGCCCGCCTCGTTCTGAAATAGTACTGGATGATGTCCGATGTGTCGGAAACGAGGCTCAGATTCAAAACTGCGCAAACAATGGTTGGGGAAATCACAATTGTGCACCCACGGAAATCGCATCGGTCACTTGCGTGAATCTCCGCTTCAGACCTCCCGCTGGTGAGACTCAGAGTAGTGTCCTTATTAAAGAAGTTGTTTAAACTGTGCATCCTCGTACGTTAGCAACCCGTGAAGGTCCGGGATAGAATGAACCTTCAGTAACCCATGCTTGTCGTAAGAGGCGACTAACGGGATCGGGTGGTCAGGCTCGCTGGCTTGGTTGACACATGTCATCGGTCCCCTATTGCGCAGATCGATGCTCATGCTGTTGATCACTGGATTGTCTGGTCCAGACTCGATTATTTACAGACCGCCGCCATATAGCTGGAATATTGCTGAGTGCGGCGTAAAACTAAACGCACCCACTCACTAGTAGGTTAGCGCATGAGAGACTGGTACTGTTATGGATTGGGTAGGTGTTGGGTGGGGTGTGTTTAGGTTGTATAATACCCGTGAAGATTCGGGTTAGAATATTGATATTCAGTAAGCCATGCTTGTCGTACGAGGCGACTGACGGGATCGGGTGGTCAGGTTCGCTGACTTGGTTGACACATGTGTTTAGTTCCCAATTTGCGCAGATCGATGCTCATGCTGCTGATCACTGGATTGTATGGTCCAGACTCGATTTCCAGACCGCCGCCTTATACCTGGAATATTGCTGAGTGCGGCGTAAGACTAAACTCACTCACTCACTCACTTAGGTTGTATAAGATAGCAATGGGTAGCCTAGAGGTTTAAGTGTTGGCTTGTCACGCCAAATACCCGGGTTCTACTTCCAGCAAGAATACTCTAAGTGTGAACCCAGTGTCGTCTCTCATGTCTGGAGTATATTGGAGTGGACGGTGAAGTCAGACTGTTAGTTGTAATGGTATCAGTCTGTTGGTTGTAATGGTATCAGTCTGTTGGTTGTAATGGTATCAGACTGTTGGTTGTAATCGTATCAGATTGTTGGTTGAGCATACTGTTGGTTGTAATGGTATCAGCCTGTTGGTTGTAATGGTATCAGCCTGTTGGTTGTAATGGTATGAGCCTGTTTGTTGAAGTGGTATCGGACTGTTGGTTGTAATAGTATCAGACTGTTGGTTCTAGTGGTATCAGACTGTTGGTTGTAGTGGTATCAGACTGTTGGTTGTAGTTGTATAAGACTGTTGGTTGTAATGGTATCGGCCTGTTGGTTGAAATGGTATCAGACTGTTGGTTGTAGTGGTATCAGACTGTTGGTTGTAGTTGTATCAGACTGTTGGTTGTAATGGTATCAGACTGTTGGTTGTAGTGGTATCAGACTGTTGGTTGTAATAGTATCAAACTGTTGGTTGTAGTGGTATCAGACTGTTGGTTGTAGTGGTATCAGACTGTTGGTTGTAGTTGTATAAGACTGTTGGTTGTAATGGCATCGGCCTGTTGGTTGAAGTGGTATCAGACTGTTGGTTGTAGTTGTATAAGACTGTTGGTTGTAATAGTATCAGACTGTTGGTTGTAGTGGTATCAGACTGTTGGCTGTAGTGGTATCAGACTGTTGGTTGTAATGGTATCAGACTGTTGGTTGTAGTGGTATCAGACTGTTGGTTGTAATAGTATCAAACTGTTGGTTGTAGTGGTATCAGACTGTTGGTTGTAGTGGTATCAGACTGTTGGTTGTAGTGGTATCAGACTGTTGGTTGTAATGGTATCAGACTGTTGGTTGAAGTGGTATCAGACTGTTGGTTGTAGTGGTATCAGACTGTTGGTTGTAGTTGTATAAGACTGTTGGTTGTAATGGTATCAGACTGTTGGTTGTAGTGGTATCAGACTGTTGGCTGTAGTGGTATCAGACTGTTGGTTGTAATGGTATAAGACTGTTGGTTGTAGTGGTATCAGACTGTTGGTTGTAATGGTATCAGACTGTTGGTTGTAGTGGTATCAGACTGTTGGTTGTAGTGGTATCAGACTGTTGGTTGTAGTGGTATCAGACTGTTGGTTGTAGTGGTATCAGACTGTTGGTTGTAATGGTATCAGACTGTTTTGTAGTGGTATCAGACTGTTGGTTGTAATGGTATCAGACTGTTGGTTGTACTGGTATCAGACTGTTGGTTGTAATGGTATCAGACTGTTTGCATCAGACTGTTGGTTGTAATGGTATCAGACTGTTGGTTGTAATGGTATCAGACTGTTGGTTGTGTTGGTTGACTGTTGGTTGTAATATCAGACTGTTGGTTGTTGGTATCAGACCGTTGGTTGTAGTGGTATCAGACCGTTGGCTGTAGTGGTATCAGACTGTTGGTTGTAGTGGTATCAGACTGTTGGTTGTAATGGTATCAGACTGTTGGTTGTAATGGTATCAGACCTGTTGGTTGTACTGGTATCAGACTGTTGGTTGTAGTGTATCAGACTGTTGGTTGTAAGTGGTATCAGACTGTTGGTTGTAGATGGTATCAGACTGTTGGTTGTAATGGTATCAGACTGTTGGTTGAAGTGGTATCAGACTGTTGGTTGCGGTATCAGACTGTTGGTTGTAATGGTATCAGACTGTTGGTTGTAATGGTATCAGACTGGTTGTTGGTTGTGGTTGTAGTGGTATCAGACTGTTGGTTGTAATGGTATCAGACTGTTGGTTGTAGTGGTATCAGACTGTTTTGGTGGTATCAGATGGTAGTGGTATCAGACTGTTGGTTGTAATGGTATCAGACTGTTGGTTGTAATGGTATCAGACTGTTGGTTGTAATGGTATCAGACTGTTGGTTGTAGTGGTATCAGACTGTTGGTTGTAGTGGTATCAGACTGTTGGTTGTAATAGTATCAGACTGTTGGTTGTAGTGGTATCAGACTGTTGGTTGTAGTGGTATCAGACTGTTGGTTGTAGTGGTATCAGACTGTTGGTTGTAGTTGTATCAGACTGTTGGTTGTAATGGTATCAGACTGTTGGTTGAAGTGGTATCAGACTTTTGGTTGTAATGGTATCAGACTGTTGGTTGTACTGGAATCAGACTGTTGGTTGAAGTGATATCAGACTGTTGGTTGTAGATGCATCAGACTGTTGGGTTGTACTGGTGTAGTGGTATCAGACTGTTGGTTGTAGTGGTATCAGACTGTTGGTTGTAGTGGTATCAGACTGTTGGTTGAAGTGATATCAGACTGTTGGTTGTAGATGCATCAGACTGTTGGTTGTACTGGTATCAGAGTGTTGGTTGAAGTGGTATCAGACTGTTGGTTGTAATGGTATCAGACTGTTGTAATGGTATCAGACTGTTGGTTGTAGTGGTATCAGACTGTTGGTTGTAATGGTATCAGACTGTTGGTTGTAATGGTATCAGACTGTTGGTTGTAATGGTATCAGAGCCTGTTGGTTGTAATGGTATCAGACTGTTGGTTGTAATGGTATCAGACTGTTGGTTGTACTGGTATCAGACTGTTGGTTGTAGTGGTATCAGACTGTTGGTTGTAATGGTATCAGACTGTTGGTTGTAGTGGTATCAGACTGTTGGTTGTAGTGGTATCAGACTGTTGGTTGTAGTGGTATCAGACTGTTGGTTGTACTGGTATCAGACTGTTGGTTGTAATGGTATCAGACTGTTGGTTGTAATGGTATCAGAATATTGGTTGTAGTGATATCAGACTATTGGTTATAAGAGACCGGGAGTTTCACTGCTGTCACCAACTCCGCAGTTATACCGCGGCATTACACATGCCCCATGTGGCTCACTGCTGTTGTTCTTCAACACATGGTCCCTGTTTCCCAGTTAACGCAAGGCCATGGCTAAAGTGGAGGCTTTTACGCTGGCACCATTTGACATGATGCAGAATACAAGCATTGTTCTTTCCGGGATAAGTACATGGTTTATTTAAAGGACAGACGATGGAAGGCTGACTGTGTGTGTGTGTGTGTGTGTGTGTGTGTGTGTGTGTGTGTGTGTGTGTGTGTGTGTGTGTGTGTGTGTGTGTGTGTGTGTGTGTGTGTGTGTGTGTGTGTGTGTGTGTGTGTGTGTGTGTGTGTGTGTGTGTGTGTGTGTGTGTGTGTGTGTGTTGTTTTTTAACGTCTCACCCCACACTCAAGACATAAATCATGGGTTTACCTGATCCAGATTGATTATTTACTGATACTATGGTTGCGTGTGTCATTAAACTAGCAAAGCGATATTGTGATAATAATTCGTAAACTTCACCAAGCTTATATAGACCGCCATCACCGGGCATTGCTGACGTTGGTTAAACTTGCGTTTACACAAACTTACTGTTTCTGACAATATCGAGAAAATGTTGATCCGTTATATCAGTCGCTTTTCAGCAATCTGAGAAGGGATAAATATTGGATGGTGTAAGTTTGGGTGTTTACTACAAATAATTGATGTTATAAAACGTATGAAATGTCCGATTTGCCAGCAATCAAAGCAGGGTTTTGCGAGCCAGTCAGAGTGAAGGAGAAGACACATCCAGCTCGCAGAGCTGCGTTAAGTAGTGTTGTAAGAGTCGTGTCCCTTTGTGTTCAGATCCGGTGCCGGTGCTGGATTGTCGGGATGGGTACCTGATTGCCGCCTTCAGCAGTATCCTGGACCCCAACCTGGAGGAGAAACATCTGACCATCCTTAACAGCACCTGTGTCCCTCTCAGGTCACATGACAACAGCACCGTCGTCATCAGAATCCCCTTCGCTGGCTGTGGGACCAATGTCACGGTGAGTGTACGAAATATACGTGACAGTCTGTGACACCGACGTCACGGTGAGAGTACGGAATATACGTCACAGGCAGTGAGACCGACGTCACGGTGAGAGTACGGAATATACGTCACAGGCAGTGAGATCGACGTCACGGTGAGAGTACGGAATATACGTCACAGGCAGTGAGACCGACGTCACGGTGAGAGTACGGAATATACGTCACAGTCTCGGAGACCGATATCACGAAGAGTGTACGAAATATAAGTAACAGTAAGTCCACATACAGGTATTCCTTTAGTTCCATCAGTTTCTGTTATTACTCCTCTGACTTGCTTAACGTCGTCTGTTACAGTACAACGCCACCCACATTTTCTACAACAACGTCATCAAGTACGACTACACCGTTCTTGAAGGCCAAATCAGCAGGGTCAACACCTTCCTTGTCAGGGTTACATGCCAGATGCCACGTGAGGCTGCGGTCACGCGACCTCTTGACCCTCAGACGCAGGTGGTCACTCAGAAATCAACTGGACAGTTCATTGTGACCATGTCGTTCTACAGGAACAACACCTTTTCCAACCCCGATCCCCAAGTTCCCCTACGACTGCCGCTGGGGGAGTGGATCAACGTGGGCCTGCAGCTGGAGAACGTGCACGACCGGCTCAAGTTGATTGTACCCGACTGTGTGGCCACCCCGAATAATGATATCAACAACCCTATTAGATACCCGCTGTTCAGAAACAGGTGCGCCCCGATCGTCAGTTGAAGATCGATCATCAAAACACTGGGTTTAAAATATTTTGATATTCATGTCGGGATGAACTGGAATTGTTAAAAAATGTAATCAATTCTTCAAAGTTATAAAATATGTTGGTGTTTTTCAAGCTATATACATTGATTGAAGGCGATGATGGATTTTCTCAAATTTGTAATGTTTTTTCAATATCGCTCAAATTGTCTGGTGTTTATTCAATTGTTTACAGGCCGCTGTCATGCAGCTGGACTACTGTGTTAAACAAACAAACAAACATTAAAAAACGTGTTTAATTTCAGCTGTCGAGACGAACCAACACTGGCTTTCTTTAACCTGAATCAGACGCGTTTTGGCTACCGGTACCAGCCGTTCGCGTTTGTTGGATACGAGGAGGTGTTTCTGCACTGTGGTGCGTTCGTGTGCGTCCTTGATGACCTGTCGGCCGAATGCGACCGCAGCTGCAACAACGCCAAGGGTAACACCACGACTGGCCGCAGGAAGCGTGATGCAATGCCCAGGGAGAAAATCTACATTCACAGTGGCCCAATGATCGTGTACAAGTTAGAAAACTCCATGACTGTACTGGAGAGGATTGGAGAACGTGAGTATTTCGCAGTCAGGACGGACTGACTGAGTTTGGTTTTACGCCGCTTTTAGCAATATTCCAGCAACATCACGGCGGGGAACACCAGAAATGGGCTTCACACATTGTAGCCTTGTGGGGATTCGAACCCGGGTCTTCGGCGTGACGAGCCAACGCTTTAACCACTAGGCTACCCAACCGCCCCTCGCAGTCAGGAGCGAAACTAGGATATATTTAATTGTAAGCAACACAATATTATTGTTCAGAAATTATAAAAAGATTACATACTCTTGAACGCTATTTCCTGCATTTTTTTACGGTCATGTTAGATTTTTTCTGTAACAAATATTTGCAATTTATTCCTCATAATATTTTTATTAGCATAGTATATAAATTTTGTATTTTAAATGGACGTGTGTCACAAACACATGTGCAACTTTAATATTTGGAATATTGCGAAAAGCGACGTTAAACTATACCCACTCACTACATTGTTGACATGCTATATATTCCTGAATTCACTCAATGTACAACTGGTGTTTCAGCTCAAACAGTGTCCAGAACGTTCACATTCCCTATGTCGACATCACCTCCACCACCATCGCCTACGTCGACACCTTCCCCGCACGTTCAGGGCCGCGTTGGGACGTCGGTCAAGGTCATCCACCACGAAACAACGACGATGAAAATTGACGACTTTGGCGGTAGTGGTGACGTTCCTGATCAAGCATCAAAGTCAACAAAAGTCCTGGAAGACGTCACAACTACAACAAAAGCTACAACTACAGCTGATGCTACGACAACGCCTGCTGCTGAGACCACAAGACGTAATATCGATACTACAACAAAGGAATATGTTACAACAAAAGACTACGAAACAACATCGCGTCTTAATGACGCAACAACACTGCGTCAAGATGGCGCTGAAACAAAGACCGAACGACAAACGAGCACGGAGACGACACCTTCAATGGTGGATGCTTCCAATGGTGTCGGGTTCCTCGTGGAAAGGGGAGTTAACTCTGACAACCCTCAAACGGCACAACAACAAGCCAACGCACTACAGGGCTACGTTCCATCCTTTATATCAGCCAGTGTAAGAAGTGACGTCAGTTTAATTTCAATATTCCTTTGTTTATCTGCATCTATAGCTCTCAGAGTCTGTTCATGAAGTCCATACATTAAACACATACACACCACTCGTTTCCATGACCACAAATTTGCTCATGTATTTTCTTATATGATTTTTTAAAAGTTGTAATAACAGATACATGTCAGTGACAGTGCTTGTTGTGCTCAAAATTGAATTTGTGTTGCCTTCGTGTAGGCCCGCGAGTAAACGAACTTCCCAAGTGTGTGATATGTTGAAGCGGCCGTACAAGTATAGTGTCCCTGTTTTACCGATGTTCTTCAGATATAAGCCGGACGTATGCACAATTTATTTAATGTATTGCTGTGCAGAGTTCATTATGGGTGTCAAATACCTATGTTCGTTGGAAGCGATCCCTAATTCGCCTTTTATGACCTTCCTACCAAATGAAGCTGACACACCGTGATATAATTAAAATAGTGTTAAAGTGGCCTTAAACCAAACCCATTTACACACTCACGGACAATAACGTACCTCTGCGCAGACTGGGCCCCACTTTGGGGTTTTACGGTAGTTTGATTTTGTGACCCGTCCATTAACGTATGACATGTTGCACAGAGGGATTATCAATCGACTTTCTGTACGGATTTAATACCTACGTGAAATACAGATGATAGTTTTGTGTTGGCCAGAAACAAACACGTCCACTGCAGCCTGGCTCACAAACAACGGGGCTGTCATAATGAATTCTGAAACATACTAGTATATATGTTTGATTCACGTCAAGTGTCTTAATGCTCTGACTATTTATGGAGACTATGTTGATTTTGTAACTACTGTATATATATATACACAACATCCTCACGCATACCCCCAGATTTGCCTTGTTCTCATAACATCCCGTAGCCATATAACTGGAGTAGAAGTATCAAAGCCATGTTGCTGTCTTGCTCCTGGAACCCCGTTTATCCAGACAGCCTCTGTTGAACTCAACCAGGAGCAGCAGTATCAAAGCCCTGTTGCTGTCCTGGAGCCCCGTTTATCCAGACAGCCTCTGTTGAACACAACCAGGAGCAGCAGTATCAAAGACCGTTGCTGTCCTGGAGCCCAGTTTATCCAGACAGCCTCTGTTGAACTCAACCAGGAGCAGCAGTATCAAAGCCATGTTGCTGTACTGCTCTGGAACCCCGTTTATCCGGACAGTCTCTGTTGAACTCAACCAGGTCATGTTTCGAATCAGTGGTTTTTGTTCACCTACGTAATAAGGTTTTCGAATAAAATTGCCCTGAATTATGTGTTTCCGGATTCACGGGGTTTCACTGTATAGATATTCTATATGTGAAAGGGTTCGTCATTCCGTCCAAATTGTCAACTGACGGCCAGTATCAAAATACTTGACAAGATTAACTTATATTTATTCCATATTTTTCAATTATATCATTTACAGCTGTCTGTACCTGTTAGTACACCAGCACTACTATATCAGATGTCTCTGTGCTGCTGTTGTCGACTTTACCAATATCATTATTAATCATACTTGATATAGGCAAAATGCCGGAATTATTTTTTCAAGGATTGATTTTCAAGTCAAAGTTTATATAACTACGGTGAATTACGTCATGTGTGTAGCAGGACGTAGTCCTGAGGTCTGTTAAACATAGAGATGTAGTCGGGATGTCGCGAATGACCTCCGTAAGCCGTCTTCGTTGCTGTGATTGATTTGTACAATTTGATTAGCGTGCCAGGAAATGTGTTTTTAAGTACTCGGTTTACGGAAATCATATTTTAAGTGGTTTTCTTCACGAAAATTCAGCTAACGTACTAAAGCAACTGTTTTCATTTTTTTAAGATTTCACATCCTGATTTTTAATTGTTTCTTTTATTGTTTTAGAATAGAATTCCGTAAACCCAGTAATGTAATAAAGTAGTCCCTGATCGTGGCATTATAGTTGTATTCCCTGTAACAAGCCTCAACAAGTCAATGCTTGGTTCGTTTTGTCTAACTAGTAGTTTGTTTGTCGTTAATTTAACGACCCGTTGAATTTGCTACACTTCTCGAACCTTTTCCCCTTTGGTCATCTACGAACAAATGGCGTGTTATTATCACCGTGATATGTTTATGATGGTCACCACATCTACATGAGCAGCGAATTATGTGACGTAGGAATTTGCGTAGTACTACGCATTTCAGGAAGTACTGCAACATAGAATTGTGGGATGTGGCAACTATCGTGCTAGCCTCTAACCCAGTGGTTATCCAGCGGTCCTGCTACTGATATTTAACAACGGTAAACTAACGAGTCGTTAAGGGTCTAACGGGTGTTTAAACTTGTCAATAGACTTGGTTCTTAGGGTGTAGTAAGGATGAGATTTTTATGCAGTTATATTGGCGTTTGTCATAGGAAATACGACTTGTTGCCATGACAGCATTGCGCTTTGTATATTTAAGCATACTGTGATACGTTTTTGGGTGTTTTTTTATATGTGCCTTTGGTCAAGTGATTATTTTTATTGTATTTTTATCTTGATTTGGTAGTACGATAAACATGTAGTTTTGGTTTGGAAGTAGTCGTTAGCTAACAATACAATGATTCTTCATGTTAAGCAGTAATTCAGTAAGTATTATATACCTATTGTATAAGTGTTCTGTAACTATTGTATAAGTTTGACTTTATCCAGGGACTGACCATTAAATGTAATATTTGGTGCGTGCATTATTCTTTCACAGATTTTTGCCTCAGAAAATACAGGTAAACAAAACGATTGTCAAATGTTTTACAGAAACTTGTTTAGCTCTCCTTTTAAGAATGACAGAAGCGTCGGTCACCCAGCTCTCAGAATATAACATGGTCGATCCCTGGTGTGTTTCAGTAGTAAACATACATCTCAGGTTTTAATGGTCATTTTGTAGCATATTGACTTACAAATTTTAAACTAAAGATTATTGTTTGTAAATATCTGTAATTGAATCTGTCAGTATAATGTTATTTAAATGTATACTTACAAATGTTGAATAAACCGTTTACACATAGATTCATGATTTTCTGTTTGTGTAATATTCTCACGAACCGACATGCATATGTTCTTGGGCCTACCATCGTGTATGTACATAAGATGCCAGGCCTGTCATCAGTACATGTACATATCAGCAGCCTGGTTGTGGAGACTGTTACTGGGTTAACCATACCTGGTTGTGGAGTCACTGTTACTGGGGTAACCAAGCCTGGTTGTGGAGACACTGTTACTGGTGATAACCAAGCCTGGTTGTGGAGACACTGTTACTGTGATAACCAAGCCTGGTTGTGGAGACACTGTTACTGGGGTAACCAAGCCTGGTTGGAACCACCAAGCCTGGTTGTGGAGACACTGTTACTGGGGTAACCAAGCCTGGTTGTGGAGACACTGTTACTGGGGTAACCAAGCCTGGTTGTGGAGACACTGTTACTGGGGTAACCAAGCCTGGTTGTGGAGACACTGTTACTGGGGTAACCAAGCCTGGTTGTGGAGACACTGTTACTGGTGTAAGCCTGGTTGTGGAGAACTGCCTGGTTGTGTGGAGACACTGTTACTGGGGTAACCAAGCCTGGTTTGTGGAGACACTGTTACTGGTAACCAAGCCTGGTTGTGCCTGGAGAGTCACTGTTACTGGGGTAACCAAGCCTGGTTGTGGAGACACTGTTACTGGGGTAACCAAGCCTGGTTGTGGAGACACTGTTACTGGGGTAACCAAGCCTGGTTGTGGAGACACTGTTACTGGGGTAACCAAGCCTGGTTGTGGAGACACTGTTACTGTGATAACCAAGCCTGGTTGTGGAGACACTGTTACTGGTGTAACCAAGCCTGGTTGTGGAGACACTGTTACTGGTGTAACCAAGCCTGGTTGTGGAGACACTGTTACTGGGGTAACCAAGCCTGGTTGTGGAGACACTGTTACTGGGGTAACCAAGCCTGGTTGTGGAGCCTGGTTGTGGAGACACTGTTACTGGGGTAACCAAGCCTGGTTGTGGAGACACTGTTACTGGGGTAACCAAGCCTGGTTGTGGAGACACTGTTACTGGGGTAACCAAGCCTGGTTGTGGAGACACTGTTACTGGGGTAACCAAGCCTGGTTGTGGAGACACTGTTACTGGGGTAACCAAGCCTGGTTGTGGAGACACTGTTACTGAGGTAACCACGCCTGGTTGTGGAGGTAACCACGCCTGTTGTGGAGACACTGTTACTGGGGCAACCACGCCTGGGCCTGGAGACACTGTTGTGGAGTAACCACGCCTGGTTGTGGAGACACTGTTACTGGGTAACCACGCCTGGTTGTGGAGACACTGTTACTGGGGTAACCACGCCTGGTTGTGGAGACACTGTTACAGGAGTAACCACGCCTGGTTGTGGAGACACTGTTACTGGGGTAACCACGCCTGGTTGTGGAGACACTGTTACTGGGGTAACCACGCCTGGTTGTGGAGACACTGTTACTGGGGTAACCACGCCTGGTTGTGGAGACACTGTTACTGGGGTAACCACGCCTGGTTGTGGAGACACTGTTACACTGCCTGGTTGTGGAGACACACTGTTACTGGGGTAACCAAGCCTGGTTGTGGAGACACTGTTACTGGGGTAACCAAGCCTGGTTGTGGAGACACTGTTACTGGGGTAACCAAGCCTGGTTGTGGAGACACTGTTACTGGGAGTAACTGGTTGTGGAGACACCTACTGGAGACACTGTTAACCAAGCCTGGTTGTGGAGACACTGTTACTGGGGTAACCAAGCCTGGTGTGGAGACACTGGAACATTGTAACCACGCCTGGTTGTGGAGACACTGTTACTGGGGTAACCACGCCTGGTTGTGGAGACACACTGTTGTTACTGGTTGTGTGGAGGTGTTACAGGATTGTAACCACGCCTGGTTGTGGAGACACTGTTACTGGGATAACCACGCCTGGTTGTGGAGACACTGTTACTGGGGTAACCACGCCTGGTTGTGGAGACACTGTTACTGGGGTAACCACGCCTGGTTGTGGAGACACTGTTACTGGGGTAACCACGCCTGGTTGTGGAGACACTGTTACTGGGGTAACCACGCCTGTTTGTGGAGACACTGTTACTTGGGTAACCAAGCCTGGTTGTGGAGACACTGTTACTGGGGTAACCACGCCTGGTTGTGGAGACACTGTTACTAAGATAACCACGCCTGGTTGTGGAGACACTGTTACTTTGGTAACCACTACTGGTTGTGGAGACACTGTTACTGGGGTAACCAAGCCTGTTTGTTGAGACACTGTTACTGGGGTAACCACGCCTGGTTGTGGAGACACTGTTACTGAGATAACCACGCCTAGTTGTGGAGACACTGTTACTTGGGTAACCACGCCTTGTTGTGGAGACACTGTTACTGGGGTAACCACGCCTGGTTGTGGAGACACTGTTACTGGGGTAACCACACCTGGTTGTGGAGACACTGTTACTGGGGCAACCACGCCTGTTAACCCCCCAAAACACGTCAACCTTAGACCAAAAGAATTATTTGGTTACCGTGGAATCTTTGAAGATGTGCCGAAGAAGCAAGTTTATAGATCTACTATAACATAGTTTTAAATAACAATTCCAAGATACCCATCAGCAGTTTTAATGTTGCCATATTTTTAAAAGTTTTAAATCAAGTTAAAGTTTAAATAAATGAAACCATGTTGAAGTTTTCTTTGGCAATTGACTAACGTCCATGCAGGCCATGTTATGTTTTGGATATAATATCCCCAACTTAAGATGCTTTCTATTTGAAATTATACCTGTGATAAAAATCAGCTGGGATCTTTTATTCGTTCTGCTTCTGGGGCGGTCGGGGTAGCCTAATGGTTAAAGCGTTCGCTGTGACGCCGAAGGCCTGGGTTCGATTTCCAACTTGGGCACAATATGTGAAGCCCATTTCTGGTGTCCCCCACCGTGATATTGCTTGAATATTGCTAAAAGCGGCGTAAAACTAAACTCACTCACTCGATTTGCTTCTCATTTCAGTTCAAGACAATATTATCTTTCACCTGAACTCAGTACATGCCCAGCACTCGTGCACTATTTGCAGAGATCAAGAAGATATACATGCAGTGTTGCCCATATCTTCTTAAACATACGACATTTCCCATTCAGTGCCTTTCCACGCAGCCATGATATATAATCCGGGTACACTTCGTGTGTTGGCAGCTGTGATTGTGCTTATTATTGGTAAGTTCTTTCGAACGTGAATGAACATCACTCTACATTCAGTTTCATTTAGTAACGAATTGTACAATGTGCACATTAATGAACCAAGAAAATACATAGTGAAATATTTCGATATGTTGACAAAGGTGCTTTTTGTCCCCCGCCGCAACGCGGAACGGGGACTATGTATGCAGCAGCGTCCGTCCGTACGTCCGTACGTCCCGATTCCTGTTAACGTGATATCTCATGAACTGTTGTACACAATGTCATCAAGTTTGGCGACAGCCTACGATGGGGGATTACGCAGACACCAGTTTATTTGGGTGACCTTGCCCTTATCTTCAAGGTCACCACGACACTTGACCACTTTTCTAACTCTTGTTAACGCGATATCTCATGAACTGTTGTACCCAATGTCTTCACATTTGGTGACAGCCTACATTGGGGGATTACACAGACACCAGTGGATTTGGGTGACATTGACCTTATTTTCAAGGTCACCATAACACTCTGAACACTTTTCAAACTCTTGTTACGCGACATCACATGGACTGTTGTACCCAATGTCTTGAAATTTGGTGACAGCCTACTTTGGGGATTACGCATACACCAGTTTATTTGGGTGACCTTGACCTTATCTTCACGGTCACCACGACACTTTGAACACTTTTCACACTCTTCTTAACGCGACATCTCATGGACTGTCATACCCAATGTCTTGGAATTTGGTGACAGCCTACATTTTGGTATTACGCATACACCAGTTTACTTTGGTGACCTTGACCTTGTCTTTAAGGTCACATGACACTTGACACGCTTTAAACTCTTCTTAACGCGATATCTCACGGACTGTCATACCCAATGTCTTGAAATTTGGTGACAATTTACATTGAGGTATTACGCATACACCAGTTTATCTTATCTTCAAGGTCACCACGAGACTTGACCGCTTTTCAAACTTATTTAAACGCGATATCTCATAAAACATTGCACCCAATGTTTTCAAGTATGTTGACAGCCTACATTGGGTGATTATGCAGACACCAGTCATTTCAGGCATCTTGTATGTGACCAAAAAAAAAAAAGTAGTAAATATAGATATTCCATTCTTTAGCAGCGGGGGACATTGCCATATCAGTGGCAAACACTTGTTATTATTGTTTTGACAAGATAGAGTAAACAGCACTTACGTCCTTTGCATCCACATCAGGTGTAACTGAGCTTAGAGTGATAGACAGAACATAGACTGCAATAATGTTCAGAAAAGCTGAATGTCATAAATATTTTATAAACTGGAAAGTTTGATCGATAAGAGGAACCTATGTCATACACGTTGTGAAATGGTCTGAGGCAGGGGAACTACTTCCTGGATGTTCATCCTTGATGTTCCGAATGTTCCAAGATAAATACAGGCTGGTAAAGATTTGTCTGTCCGCATGTACGAATGTATAGTTACTTGGCTCCAAATCATGTGACTCAGGCCTATCTGGGCTTGCTTTCCAATTTAAAAAAACAATGTTAAACATCATAAATATCATATACTAGTATTATGAAAATCGCAGCAGTCTAAGATCGTTAAAGGCTTGCATTATACATTCCTATCAGATATATGATATTCATTATATGAAAACTCAAACACCTTGTAAACAAGTTTTCTCCTTACAGTGGACGGTTCTTGTCCAAACTATTGGACGGCGTATGGATCAAGCTGTTACGTTCTCATCAAGAACCCGTCAACATGGGCAGGAGCGGATGTGAGACAGACAAAACTTTAATCTTCTCTGCTTCACTTAATATATACTGTTCCAAAAAAGAAACGCATAACCCAGAAATCTGTTGCGAAAATGTTGTATTTTCAAACATGTATAACTCGTCCACAAATAGACTTTAGTACATGAATTTTTACATCAGTTTAGAAGAAGGTAATGTCTATACAACCAAGTGGATAATTTTAGATAACGGAGACATTGAGGTCGATGGTGACGACGTAGCATGGTCCCGACGTCGGGTCTCCTGGTTCTCAGTCTAATCTCTCTCAACCTGTTCCGTACAGTTTGAGCGGATATCCTCCGAAGTCCAGGCACCCTGGCTGCTGTGCTCTCACCCGTGACAGTACGATCACGCAAATGTAGTACCCGGATGTACCGATCTTGGGCTGCAGTGGTGACTGGAGGTCTACCGTGTACGGGGAGGGTAATTTGTTATACCTGTTTGGTTGTAACGAGCTGCAAACAGTGATATCGAGCTCAGACCAACATTCAGACACCTGGCAACAGAAAATTGGTATTCTTTCAATGACGATGTTCCAAGTCGCAGCGTCAAGACGTGGCGTAGTGATTTTATCTTGAAACTCCTTCAAAACGAATGCCGATTTCAGAAAATAATTTGGATTTTTATAGCCAGACAGTGCATGTTCTTTGCTGCACAATTTCATCTGGAAGGCTATTTCTGTTACGTTGTGACGATGCCTTTTTAATTCTTGTAAAAAATCTCATCAAAATCAACATTTTCAGGAAAAGTCGATGTTTCACTTGTGCAATAGTGTAAAATCATGTTATCAACACTTTTGTTACATATTTTCAAAATTGTTTGAACCCAATAGGTAATTAATAGATTTACAAAAATACAAAACGTCTATGCGTTTCTTTTTTTTGGAATAGTATATATGATAAAATATTAAACGTATTAAATAAATATGCTGTACAATATACTTTGTTGTAGCCTAGGCAGAGACAACGTACACCATGATCCTGTATGTACTGAAACTGAAACTGATTTTAAGTAAATATGTCCACTGAAAGCATTTAAATCTTGGGTCAGAACTGATTGTCCGAGATGTTAGAATAGACAGACGTGACACACCTTTCGTCAAGGAATTGTGCATGTTTAGATGTTCTCTCTAGGTTGGTAAGTTGGCGCCCATTCACATGCATTAGTTGACCCAGATGCTTCACTTTGTTCAGATAGCTTTTTACTTTACATCTTTAATGAGGTAATAAGCTTAGCGGTGTAAAAGGGACATCTGACTGAAATTTGCATTAGTCGTTGAACTTCAGATGATCATAGATTCTGTTAGATGATTGGCCGAAACGCCACGTCATTTACCATGGGGACTCGCTTCTATTCTCAAGACAATCCTGGATACGACGAAGCATACTTCAAATCAAAAGTCCAATGTCAGCCTGGTTCATTCCATCCCATTCTTCATGCAGAGCAGCGCCGAGTTCGTTTAGCGTGATCGGTGTATGTTGACGGTGACGTATGCGTCAAAAAAGACAAAAATAAACCTTTATTCATCCAAAAACACAACAATTTATCTTTACACCAACGACGTCTTGCAGTTATGTGTGACATTCTGTCAATCGTGGGGATAACACTCTGACGGCGTGTATGCTAGTTCCATCTGTGTAGTTGATTACGAATCGTCAGTCCACACAAACATTGCAGCCCTGAAAGCTTATCTCCAAGTGAAGAGTCACTTTGACCAAGGTTCCTTAACACAGGTCGTTCTTATAAAACGGCCTTTTGCGCCAGTTGTCGCGTTTAGTGGGCCAGATTGGCGTCTTTCATCAACCTATTTGTCTTTGGATATCGTGACTACTGACTTATGCCACAGTGCCCTGTCTCGTTCGAGCACGCCAGCACGTACCCATTCCCGCCGTGATAGACGCTGCATGTGAAAAAGACGTTAAACTGAGTTTAGAACAAAATCTGAACAATTTTCTCTGAAATGTATAGCAAAACACTGACACGTTTCACTGTAATTATAAATTTCGAGTTTTACACAATGTTCTCGTGCACAACATGAAAAACGCTTGCACGAAATTCACAACACGTTGTAAACGAAATAATAATTGTCTAAATCCATATACAATCATACGACTTGGTTACCCAAGAATATGACCCCAATATGGAATATCACCTACTTTTTGTGAATAGCATATAGTAGGCAGAACACAGTCTTTATCATACATAATCCTCGATATTAAGGTCTTGCACTAACCTGGCATTTTCTTTCCTTGACATCAGACTTTCCTCACTCACTCACTCACTCACTCACTTTTACTTCCAGGACATTTGCAAAGATTTTGATGCCTTTCTCGTGGAAGTCGACACTAAAGATGAAAACGAATTCCTGAAAAGTTTTCTGAAAAACAAAAGTTGTGAGTACTTTATAGTGACCTACGAGTCATCAGGAACTGACATATGGTAGGGTGTGGTCTTGTGTATAGAGCCCAGGCCACAAGTCAGGTGAAGTTAAGCAACGGTGGCCACAGGCAGTCCTTGGATGGCTGACCGTCTTCAGTAGCTTCACCCATGAGCCTTTCTAGGACTTAACTGAGGGTTAGAGCGTCCGCTCGTCACGCTGAAGACCTGGGTTCGATTCCCCACTTGAGTACAACGTGTGAAGCCCATTTCTGGGGTCCCCCGCCGTGATATTGCTGGAATATTGCAAAAACAAACCGAAACATGAGTCTCATTAACCTATTCAGACAATGACCTACTTTTCAGCCGATCCGAATTTTCTCGTGTGAAAGTGAAAAGAGACACCACAAACAACTATGGTTACACTGAATTCTAATTCCTTGTTTCATAAGAAAATGGTATTTACATTTTAATTTTAATTTTAAACTTTAATAACATCGTATTTCTATATTTTATGGCGAGGTGTAGGCAGCATGACCTTAACTAAGACGTCACAGACTGCCCCTGTTTGATGAGGTCGTAGAAAGATTCACAATTCATCTGGCTCACTGGTTACACCTGTTACACCTGCGCTTATTCAGTTTAGTTTTGTAACGCACAATGTGATTGATATAATATCAAGTCTATACCAGACCGCCAAACCTTTCTAGCGGCAGAGCCTCGTTTTGAGATTTCCACGATCTCCGTCTATCAGAACATGCTGTACGACAGAGCACGCTGCAAGGATTAGAAGGAGCGTAGTGTTGCAATATACAAGTGATTAGATGTATCAAATAATACTGATTAATATTTATGTATCCAGTTGAATGAATTGGTCTCAAAATTCTGGACTGGTTATTGTACTATGTTGCGCAATAGGACGGAACTCAGTCAACAGGAAACGAGACTTGTGTAATCAATGTTTTGACTTGCGGTGTAAAACCATACCCACTTACTCTCTCTAGGACTTCAGTCCTGCCCCACAACGAAACACACTAGACCTTTGGTCTCACCGTTGGCAAGTGAGTTAATAAATGCCTCTGTCCACCCAGCAGTGAATGGGTACCCGGTCATATGACTGGTAACCTTTTAGCGCCTCACAGGCAGCTTGGGTTAACCGGGTTTATAATGGCGCTTTGAGCATGCACACGTGCGTGGGTACAGACGCTTTTTAAATGTACATTATTATTATATACCCAGGTAAAGTAATGTATAATTATTGAAGTCGGTGATTGATAAAGTAATGTATAATGATTGAAGTCGGTGATTGATAAAGTAATGTATAATTATTGAAGTCGGTGATTGATAAAGTAATGTATAATTCTTGAAGTCGGTGATTGATCAAGTAATGTATAATTATTGAAGTCGGTGATTGATAAAGTAATATATAATATTGAAGTCGGTGATTGATAAAGTAATGTATAATTATTGAAGTCGGTGATTAATGGTCTGAGCAACAATCCCCACCGTCGGGATTCACTCACAGTGAACCAAGTCACCCAGTCCTGCCAGCTGATCCATTTAGTCGCTTCTTATGAGCAACACAGGTCGAACCCAACTGACCTTGTATGCCTTCAGGGGAGATGGGGTAGCCTGATGGTTAAAGCGGACGATCGTCACGCTGAAGACTCGGGTTCGATTCCCCACATAGGTATAATGTGTGATGCCCATTTCTGGTGTCCCCTGCCTTGATATTGGTGGAATATTGTTAAAAGCTTTCAGGATTTCAAACATTGGGTTATCTGGTCAAGATTATACTTCTACATGCTTCTTTGATACAGTTGGAATACTGGCATCTAGGAGGTAAGGTAGCAGTCACACACTCCTTGCTATTCCTCTGACAAATTGTATTGTCACCATATTGATTTTTTGCCCGTGAAGGTCCGGGTAAGAATTGGCCTTCAGTAACCCTTACTTGTCGTAAGAGGCGACTAACGAGATCGGGTAGTCAGGCTCGCTGACTTGGTTGACACATGTCATCGTATCCTAATTGTGTAGATCGATGCTCGTGATGTTGATCACTGGATTGTCTGGTCCAGACTCGATTATTTACAGACCACCACCATATAGCTGGAATATTGCTGAGTGCGGCGTTAAACAACAAAACCAACCAACTAGCCAACCAATCATATTGATTTTAGAAATATACTACAAACAAAAAGTATGGAAGCACCCTAAAATTTGATAGTCATATATAAACTTAAACGTGGCAAGGTCATTTATACTCTAAGGTAAATGCAACTTTTGTGTGCTTAATGGGCAATATAAACGACATGTTGGAACAAGCAGTAAAGCAACTGATTCAATATTCGTTGAGTTTGTGTGAAATGAAACATTGTCAAAAACAGCGAAAAGCAAGGGTTCTGAAACACACCAGCACCATGTCTGATTGAAACGCCCAAACACGACAGCCTAGTGCATGTGGAAGACAGACTTCCCATGCAGCTTGTGGCAACTGGGCATTGGCAGTTGTGAACCCGTTCTAAGGGGCTTGGAGCACAACATATCGGTCATCTGCCCTTGATGTTTTTCTGGGTCTTCCAGAGCGAGGTCTGTCCTGTACTCTACCAGTGGCCTGGAACCTGTCCTTCAGTCTGTGAATGACAGGGAGACACTTGAAGACGGCGAGCAACACCATCTGGATTCACCATCCTGTAACCATGCAGTGGTTCTGGTTCTGTCGTGGGCGCTTAACGGTCTGCGCTATGGCATGGTTAAGAAGATGTGAGGCTACAATGCTGTCTCTAGCTTCTTTAAAGGAAACGTTGCCACGAGCTGAATGGGAAGTCTGTCTTCCACATGCACTAGGCTGTTGTGTGTGGGCGTTTGAATCAAACATGGCGTTGGTGTGTTTCAGCACCCTTGCTTTTCGCTGTTTTTGACAATGTTTCGAATTCATTTCACTCAAACTCAACGAATATTGAATCAGTTGCTTCACTGCATTATACATGTTCCAACATGTCGTTTAAAGTGCCCATTAAGCACACAATAAGTTGCATTTACCTCAGAGTATAAATGACCTCGCCACGTTTAAGTTTATATATAACGATCACATTTTAGGGTGTTCCCAACCTTTTTGCTTGTAGTATTTAGATCAAAGACTCTGTCGTCTTGACAGTGACCGTGAAGGCGGTATGGCTTGGAGGGAACGACCTTCTCAGCGAGGACCACTGGATGTGGGTTCATAGCAAGGAGCCGGTGACGTTCACTGCCTGGGGTCCCTCACAGCCAGATAATGCTGCCAACGAAGAGAACTGTCTGGAATTGTATATAGAAAATAGTTACAAGTGGAACGACAACTCTTGTTCGGTGCGCCAGTATTTCATCTGTGAGCAACCGTGAGTGAATTGATTTTTTTTCAAATCACGTATTTGAGATTTATGCAGCCCCATGTGGAAGACTTTAACTTAATATATAGTCGGAATCATACACTGACTGTTTTTTTTGCAGAAAATATTTATGATTATTCAAAAGTCTTTTGCGCTTACTCTGCTGTGATCTCAACATAGTGTCCACCATCTATCTGAAAGACCTGATACCATTGTGTGAACCTATATAGCCCATTATCTGATGGCACGGATATGTTCCTCGTCATCCTCGCCATCCTTTCCCGTACAGTGTTACAGGGCGTACTGGAATTACACTATCTGTATTTATCTGTATCACATCTCACTCTACCCAGACTTACTGTATCCGATCTATCTGTATCACATCTCACTGTAACCAGACTCACTGAATCACATCTCACTGTAACCAGTCTCACTGTATCCGACCTATCTGTATCACATTTCACTGTAACCAGTCTCACTGTATCCGATCTATCTGTATCACATCTCACTCTAACCAGTCTCACTGTATCCGATCTATCTGTATCACATCTCTCTGTAACCAGTCTCACTGTATCCGATCTCTCTGTAACCAGTCTCACTGTATCCGATCTATCTGTATCACATCTCACTGTAACCAGTCTCACTGTATCCGATCTCTCTGTATCACATCTCACTGTAACCAGTCTCACTGTATCCGATCTATCTGTATCACATCTCACTGTAACCAGTCTCACTGTATCCGATCTATCTGTATCACATCTCACTGTATCCGATCTATCTGTATCACATCTCACTGTAACCAGTCTCACTGTATCCGATCTATCTGTATCACATCTCACTGTAACCAGTCCCACTGTATCCGATCTATCTGTATCCGATCTCTCTGTATCACATCTCACTGTAACCAGTCTCCCTGTATCCGATCTATCTGTATCACATCTCACTGTATCATATCTCACTGTAACCAGACTCACTATATCACATCTCACTGTAGCCAGTCTCACTGTATCCGATCTATCTGTATCCGATCTCTCTGTATCACATCTCACTCTAACCAGTATCACTGTATCCGATCTATCTGTATCACATCTCACTGTAACCAGTCTCACTGTATCCGATCTCTCTGTGTCACATCTCACTGTATCCGATCTATCTGTATCTGATCTCCCTATATCCCACCTCACAGTAACCAATCTCACTTTATCCAATCTCACTGTATCCGATCCGAGATAAACGCCGTGAACTCCCACGTTAACATCCTGAGATGCAACACACATATTGTTCAGTGCGGTGTTGAACATCGACTTGCGCTGGTTACTGGTAATGATGCTCAAGCAGGGCCAATACCAGAGTCGTGTCTCACTTTGGACGCAACTCTTTACAACAACTTTACCCTTTTGACCACATGACCTCCATGCCTCTGTTGTGTCCTGATTGTGAAAATACCCCAAAGTTGTTTTTTCATGGACTTCATTTGTTTGTTTTTCTCCATTTCAGTGAGCCAAGTGATGTTATCATTGGCTAGACTGGTGACAACGTTTTAATGAATAAACTAATCAAACTATTTAATGCAGCTTGTTTTCAATTCGAGCGGGCCCTGATGGCTTACAAGATCACACTCCAACTGTCACGTACCGATTTTACAGTTTTATCACATGTCCTGCATGTATAGTCTGTAAACATGAAGGGCGTATTATACAAAATAACATATAGTTTCAGTGTAATTGTGTATTAAGATAACTCGGTCAATAATGGTCAGGATCATTCCTTCAAACATTCGTTGATACGGCTTCTCTACTGACCGTCGATTCCCAGCATGGGTACAATGTGTGAAGCCTATTTCTGGTGTCTCCCGCCATGATATAACGGGAATATTGCTAAAAGCGGCGTAAAACTAAACTCACTCACTGCCTGTCCTGACTAGGCAATGACAGTTTCGTCTTCAGTCACCCTCTTCACAGTAAATAATAGATTTAACTGGAGGAAAGTCCTCGCAGGTCGTTAGTCTCCAACCTCTTGTTTATGGTAGAGAACGTTAAACTCTCTTTCCTCATTGGGGCGATGTTGTAGCCTAGTGGTTAAAGCGTTGGCTCGTCACGCCGAAGACCCGGCTTCGAATCCCCACATGGGTACAATGTGTGAAGCCCATTTCTGGTGTCCCCCGCCGTGATGTTGCTTGAATATTGCTAAAAGTGGCGTAAAACCAAACTCAGTCAGTCAGTCAGTCTTTCCTCATTTGATCAGTCTGAATGGTAGCTTCCTCCTCTTGGGTTCTCTCGTCTCCATTGTATGAAATGACAGTTTGACGATACAGCCTTGAAACACACCATCGAGAGATTGATTATAAAATTAATGGATTTACAACATTCTGAATGATGAAAGTGTAAACTACAGATATGAATAATCACTTATTACGATAAAAGATAAAAAATCATTTTGGTGACGTTTCTTTCGCCCGTGAGTTTATATGTCTCATAATGAGAAGATTTACGCACCCAACACCCAGGTGATTAGGTTTCCGTTAATGAGCTTCGGTGGTACATGGACAACACGTGCATTGCAACAGGAGAAACTCCATCATCATGGAGCGGCCCAGACAGGCTGGCTTGTACCGTGCATGCAACGTTATATCGCCAAGTCAAGGGAAATAGCGTTTGATTAATCACACCGGTACGTATATGTTCCCCTAAAATCACATCTAAAAATGAGACACCGTCATTTACATATAGTCATGTGCTTTTATCCAGACATAAAAACATTACTCTCCTATGGAATCCTAGAAGGGACATTGTCGCTATGTCGCATTGTCGCGTTGTCAAAAACAAGTAAAGTGAGGCAAAATAAACCAAAACGCGACACGCGACATCGCGACAACGCGACAATGTCCCTTCCAGGATTCCATACTCTCCCTGTTATTGCCCTCCTCAAGTCAATTGTCTGTTCCCTCCCAAGTACGCTGGTTGCACGAGCGTGGGGGACGTGTCAACATGGGTTACCAACATGATGACCTAGGGTTGTGTCACGTGTTGCTCATGCATGTGAGTGAGTGAGTTAAGTTTTACGCCTCACTCAGCAATATTCCAGCTATATGGCAGCTGTCTGTAAATAATCGAGTCTGGACCTGACAATCCAGTGATCAACAGCATGAGCATCGATCTACGTAATTGGGAACCGATGACATGTGTCAACCAAGTCAGCGAGCCTGACCACCTGATCCCGTTAGTCGACAAGCATGGGTTACTGAAGATCAATATTCAAACCCGGATCTTCACGGGTCTCATGCATGTGAAGGGACGGAATCTTGAGTAGTGCTTGGTAAAGAATGGTCAATATTTGGATCTTCCCACAAAACAAACTACTGGGCAGATGCGACTAAGTGACTTCCAGGGAAGGGTACATTTTGTAATCAGATTCAGCGACAAATATACGTATTAGGTTCAAAGTTAACTTCCGATCAGAATTGAACAAAGAGAAGAATGTTTTTATTAGCTTTATAATTGTGTTACGAGAGTGCGTTTTGCCATTTGTGAAAACTCCCAGTTGTGAGACTCCCAGTTGTGAGACAGTGGAGTAGGTACTTAGCAAAGAAAACACACCTTACTCCCCTATCTGATAGAATGGATTAACCCCAGCTAATTATGGATTAGCTATTTTACTGAATCTTGTGGAGGTAACTTAATGAAACCTTAAAAGATAAAGTAATTAACCTACTCAGATGAATGGCTTTAAAAAATAAACATTTTGTGTAGGTAATTTGAAAGAGAAATTAATTTACCTACTCAGATTTACGTGTTTGAAATATCTAGCAATAACTGTTGTAACCATAATTAATCCAAATGTATTTATTAACCTTTGACTGCTCTTTCCGATCACCATTATGGCAGGCTTTCAACAAGTAGAATATATCATCAGTTCACGATAATCTTTTTCAGTATTTCAGTATCTATTGAAAACAATAAATGCTCTTCAACGAACAATGTCTTCTGTGTTAATTAACTCATTAATGAACTATCCTGCGGGTACTCTTCAGCAACAGGGCTGTTCCCACTTTCATCGTAGGGATGGGGAAGCACCACCTGTGTGCACTGAACCATTAATTAATGTGTCTCACAACTGGGGGTTCTCACAAATGGGAGGACACCGTCAGGATCATTCCTTCAAACATTGGTCAAGCATTCGTTGGTACGGCTTCTCTGCTGACCGTCGATTCCCAACATGGGTCCAATGTGTAAAGCCCATTTCTGGTGTCCCCCGCCATGATATTACGGGAATATTGCTAAAAGCGGCGTTAAACTAAACTCACTCACTGCCTGTCCTGACTAGGCAGTGACAGTTCCGTCTCCAGTCACCCTCTTCACAGTAAATAATAGATTTAACTGGAGGAAAGTCCTCGCAGGTCGTCAGTCTCCAACCTCTTGTTTATGGTAGAGAACGTTAAACTCTCTTTCCTCATTGGGGCGATGGGGTAGCCTAGTGGTTAAAGCGTTGGCTCGTCACGCCGAAGACCCGGGTTCGAATCCCCACATGGGTACAATGTGTGAAGCCCATTTCTGGTGTCCCCCGCCGTGATGTTGCTGGAATATTGCTAAAAGCGGTGTAAAACCAAACTCAGTCAGTCAGTCAGTCTTTCCTCATTTGACCAGTCTGAATGGTAGCTGCCTCCTCTTGGGTTCTCTCGTCTCCATTGTATGAAATGACATATTGACGATACAGCCTTGAAACACACCATCGAGAGAGATTGATTATAAAAATTAATGGATTTACAACATTCTGAATGATGAAAGTGTAAATTACAGATATGAATAATCACTTAGTGTACGATAAAAGATAAAAAAAATAATTTTGATGACGTTTCTTTCGCCCGTGAGTTTATATGTCTCATAATGAGAAGATTTACGCACCCAACACCCAGATGATTAGGTTTCCATTAATGAGCTGCTGTGGTACATATGGACAACACGTGCACAGCAACAGGAGAAACTCAATGACCATGGAGCGGCCCAGACAGGCTGGCTTGTACCGTGCAAGCAACGGTATATCGCCAAGTCAAGAGAAATAGTGTTTGATTAATCACACCAGTACGTATATGTTCCCCTAAAATCACATCTAAAACTGAGACACCATCATTTACATATAATCATGTGCTTTTATCCAGTCATAAAAACACTACTCTCCCTGTTATTGCCCTCCTCAAGTCAATTGTCTGTTCCCTCCCAAGTACGCTGGTTGCACGAGCGTGGGGGACGGGTCAACATGGGGTACCAACATGATGCCCACGGGTTGTGTCACGTGTTGCTCATGCATGTGAGTGAGTGAGTTTAGTTTTACGCAGCACTCAGCAATATTCCAGCTATATGGCAGCGGTCTGTAAATAATCGAGTCTGGACCTGACAATCCAGTGATTAACAGCATGAGCATCGATCTACGTAATTGAGAACCGATGACATGTGTCAACCAAGCCAGCGAGCCTGACCACCCGATCCCGTTAGTCGACAAGCATGGGTTACTGAAGATCAATATTCTAATCCGCATCTTTACGGGTCTCATGCATGTGAAGGGACGGAATCTTGAGTAGTGCTGGGTAAAGAATGGTCAATATTTGGATCTTCCCACAAAACAAACTACTGGGGCAGATGCGACTAAGTGATAGCCAGGTAAGGGTACATTTTGTAATCAGATTCAGCGACAAATATACCTATTAGCTTAAAAGTTTACTTCCGATCAGAATTGAACAAAGAGAAGAATGTTTTTATTAACTTTATAATTGTGTTACGAGAGTGTGTTTTTTGCCATTTGATATATCACATTGATTAAGTGATAGTTATTATGGGTCACAATGTTTAAAGTTTTGAGTGGGCGTTGTGGCTCACATCTCGCATCATATATGTTCAATGACCATGGTATTTGTAGCAGCACGCCTCCCTTGGCAATCATTTTGTATTTGTTGACTTCCGGATCTCGCCGTGGAGCTTTCGATAACGTTCTGAGTGGATAATGATGCATCCTAGCTTTGCTAGAATGCCCGAGAACTGCGCGAGAGCTATATAAAGGCTATTTGTTGAGTTGTACGACGGGTCTTATCACATGACTTGATTTCTATACATCTGTCTGCCATCATCAAACTGATCAACGTTTCAAGACTGACTGTGCTCGTCTATTCAACTGCTGTCATTGTAAATAACTTTCAATCGGTATATCCGCTCTCACTGTAAATATCAAGACTTGAAATGTCATTCAATAAGACGTTGTCATCCATAAGCTATCTTGTTTTTACTGTTAATCACCAACTTCTGAACTGCCAATCAAACAGATAATTCCGTCAGTCAGATATGATGATGATGATGCACAAGGGGAAATAGTAGCAGATGTTTGTGAGGCCTTAGTTACACATGCATGTGTTGTGAGGCAGTCATTGCTGTTTGTTTTACACGTGGGATCGTTGTGATTTTTCTCTTCTCGGTCCACACAAACTGCAATCTCCAAACATACATACCCGTGAAGATCCGTGTTACAATTGATCTTCAGTAACCCAGGCTTGTCGCAAGAGGCGACTAACGAGCTCGGGTGGT